GCATCACTGAATATAGTTCCTTCTTTTGGTATAGCTTACTCTTGCTTGGGAAGCAAAATAAGCAAGGTGAGTGTAAGTGTGTAAACTAATCACACAAAGAGATACTGCTGCTCATTTAGCTAAGAATATCTCTACCTCGGAGTCGGTGGAACTTCTAAGTGAAGACCCATTTGCTCCAGTTATGCATGGCACATCTTTGAAGGAAAAAAGTGTACTACTTCAGTCACCTGTTACATTTAATTTCAATGATTTAGATGCTAAGACTCTTTTAAACAGTTAATTTGTTGTCACTTTTCCAAAAATCATCCCGAGTGAAGGGGGGGGTCATGAATACCTTATCAGCTGCCTACATCTCAGTCTTCCCTCAAAATTCTGTTGTGTCTTAATGCAAACCAATGCATCCTCCAATTTATGGCTTGTATTCAGGGGGAAAGTGTGGTCAGAGTGAGCTTGAGGCATCAAACATGAGCTGTAGCTTCGGGACCTTCCATTCTCTAGCTGCACCTGAACTGCAAAGCACATGTAATTGAGCTCTTTATTTAGGTAGTTCTCAAAGTGTCATTTACAGTTGCTAGGTCTTTTGCTCTTCTAATCATCACTAGGTTCACTCAGACATTACAACCACATGTTCTGCATGTATATATCTGTATCAACACATCCATCCAGTCAGTTTTTGCAGCTTAACTTACTAGGCTGACTTCAGTTTCTGTCTAGTCCTAGAAGATGTCTGCTCAGTGTGCTGTTGTAAGGACCTTAACGGAGTTACTGCTGATGGGCATAGCAAGATGCATGAGTTTTGGGAGAAGCATGGGGAAGCAGACATTCTGAAGGCCTAGCAACACAGGGAAGGAAGCAGATTGTTGCGTCTATTAAAAAATAAAAGAAGCTGTTTTAAAAAGTAAGGGCTGCATGCTGTGTAAAGAGTGAAGTTGTCAGAAGGATCTGGCTCTGGGGCTCTGTAGCTGTGGCTCAATTTGCTTTTGCAATGTCTTTTTAACAGCTGGGTTGGAAGGTGCCTGGGAGGCACAATGTCAGTGGTGATAGTTGTCTTTGTATGGGGTGTGGGTAAAACGTATGGGGAGATGTTTTTACATTGGTAACAATAAGGTTATTGTTACATAAAGTATTCTCTGCAGTGGCTGGTGTTTGGATTCAGTGGGAGCTGAAGCAATCGCATTATGGCTTTCAGCCTGGTAGACTGTTCAGATATTCCACCTAGCCTGACTGTCCTCTTAAACCCTTGGAAAATGAGCCTGGGAGTTAACAGAATTCCACTGCATAGCAAAGACTATGGATTAAAAATATTTGTATTATGGCACATTATCTCCCTTCCCTTTCCATGCGTACACACAGTCTCTAATTCCCTGTGTTTTGTAGGCAATAAATTACCTGTGTTTTTCCATTAGCAAGCCACATCGTCAACTTGGTTTGGGGAGTTTTCTGAAGTAGTTAACTACTATACACCTACTATATAGCTATATACACCTTTACATATTGCATAGAGGTATTATAGTGCTTCATGCACATTGTTGTATTGAGTAACACCTCTGTTTGCTGTTTCAAAGTGTCAGCCCAGTGGGACTGGAGTCCCTCTAGAGCAATAGGATCTGTTTTCTAGGTCTTGTCCGTTTACAATGTTACCTCTAAGTTTGGGATTTAACCAGGTTAAACATTGTATTTGTGTTCACCTGGTTATTTTGCTAATCCTGGTGAGCTTTGAGTGGAAAGGGTGTTAAGAATTTGTCTTGGAAGGCACAATGAAGTTTTTGAGATCCTTGGGTAAGGAAAGCTGAAGAGAGTTGTGTGTATAGCTTATTCCAGCTTTCTGCTTGTGCAGCTTATATACATCATAAAATCATGGAATGGCTTCGGTTGGAAAGGACCGTAAGATCATCTTTTTCTAAACCCCTGCTGTGGGCAGGGACAGCTCACACTAAACCATATCACCCAAGGCTCTGTCCAACCTGGCCTAACACCGCCAGGGATGCAGCATTCACCACTTCTTTGGGCAACCTGTTCCAATGCCTCACCATGCTCACAGACCTTCTTTGTTATATCTAACCTGAACTTCCCCTGTTTCAGCTTGAACCCATCACCCCTTGTCCTATCACTACAGTCCCTGATGAAGGGTCCCTCTCCAGCATCCTTGTAGGCCCCTTAAGACACTGGAAGCTGCTATGAGGTCTCCACGCAGCCTTCTCTTCTCCAGGCTGAACAGCCCCAAGTTTCTCAGCCTGTCTTCATACGAGAAGTGCTGCAGCCCCTGAGCATCCTTGTGGCCTCCTCTGGACTTGTTCCAGCAGCTCCATGTCCTTATGCTGAGGACACCAGAACTACACACAGTAAATACCAGCAATGTCCTTCTTTTTGTCTGGATATTTAAATGGCAGAAACTTCTGGTGCAGTACACACTAAAATGTAGCATAGAGTCTATGCTTTTATTGCATCTTTTTACCATGTTAAAAGCTTTAGTCCTTTGTTAGCAAGAAGTTGAGGCACAGCTGAGAATGCTTTTCTCATAGTCTTAGGTGAACTCCCCAAGACCAAGATGCTCACCCACTACTCTTTGGCATTGTCCCAGATCAGAGTGCTAAGGTGAGGACTTTGACCTCTTATGAAGGCGTGACTCAGTTATATTGTTAGCCAAAGCAGGCTGAAAGATGGGGAGAGAAAGATGAACTGCAGACAGAATAATCCTGCTTGTTGAAGCAGGACTACATTGTGCCTGCTACTTGTCAGCCCACAGTTTTTGCTTTCTTTTACCAGCAGTTCCTGATGTTTTGTTCGTGTTATCCTATAATGCCACTGAGACAGTTCAGTCCTGGGCTGGTTTGTAATGTATTTGTAAACTGGAATGGGAGCTTCTGGCACTTTTTTTGCTTGGGCCTCATGTAAGTCCTTCTTCACATACGAATAGTGAAGTGGCACTCCTGGCATGGTATTGATGGAACTGTACAGCTGGTGTTCAACTGATGAGTCTTGATACTTAATGTCATTTAACTTTCCTGAATATTCCTGCTATTGGATAACACCAAACCCCATCTCTATTCCTGCATTTCCTGATTCAACAGGTCAGTTGAAAGTGTTTCTATCTTTGTTAAATATCCTTGCTTACTGGAGCCACTAGGATGCTTAAGGGTGAATTTTTTCATTGAAAACAATCTGTAGTGTTTCTTTGTGTGCTGCTGTCACTTGTATCTTGATTTAGTTTTTTGCAGCTGGGGTAGGTTTCACCTCGAGCGAAAACGAAAAGCATTATGCTTGTGTTCTCTAAACCAAATGCTTTGAGGGTTTCATTTCCTGAACTACTTCAAAAGTATGTTTATTATTTCACAAGACAAAAGCAAAGATGTTACCACTTAGTCCTGATGCGGAATAGTCTGAGTGAGTCAGAGCACAGAGATGCATCACAGATCATCACCTGGAATTCTCATTTCAAACTGTTCTTGAGTACTGTAGTCACACATCCCTAGCAACATAGACACTTAGCTTTTTAACACCTCTTTCCCCATGTAATCTTAGTCATTGCTTTCTTTCCTAGATGAGTTCTACTTTTCATCATAGTCTGTCTAGTTGTCCTTTAACTTGATAACAGAGTAAAGAGATAGTGGATTTTCTTGTAAATTCATTTTGATTATTCAATAATTTCATACTAAAAAGTTGAAACAGATTGATTTCTTAAACAGTGACAGGAGGTAAATAGTTTTCTCATGTAGAATGCAAAAAGGAGCTCATGGAAAGGATCAGGTAATAACTTGAAGAGTCTGTTAATTTAGTGGCAATTCTCTTTTAGGTCTGGGTGTAACTGCTGTACAGAACAGAATCGGATTACCTGGGGGTGCTTGCATCAAAATTCAGAGCTCCTCAGACCTTTTTTTTGTGCCTATCTGTGGTCTTTCCAGGTCTGAGAATTGGTTTTGTAGCAGCCTTCTGAGAGAACACCTCCCTGCAGGTACATTGTTCCCAAGAACGAATGGAGGAGATGCTAAGAGCAGAGCAAGGACTGCATTCAGGAGGTGGCTGAAGTGGGATTTGAGGGATGGAGTGGCATGCCTGAGGGTTTGGGGTTTTTTATGGGAGACATAGTAAGCAGGATAAGTGACAGGACTTTTTGTTCACTTGTTTTTCAGGAGATACTGTGCTGGGTTACTGTTCCACAGTGAGAGCTTGAGACAAAAGGTGGTTTTACTTGGCGAGTAAGGGGTCTTTGTGTTGTTACCAGCAGCCCTTTTTGTCTCTCAGCCTTTATATTGTCTTGTGTTGTGGAACTCGTGCCACTTCTGTGTTCAAGCAGGTCTAAAAGCACGTGGGTTTTAAGACAGTTGTAATGTAGCTTGTTAAAGCAGTGGCCTGTGAATGCTCATCATTTGCAGTCAGCTCTATACCAGGCTTGAAATGTCTGGTTTCCAGCAATTTTGTTCATTCTTTCCTAAACAATGCCACAACTGTTAATTTGTTATATTTAGACCTCATGTCAGTACAAATTTTTTATTTTTATTTTTTACAGTAAAAGAAGTTCACAGAAGATTTAAAAAAAAAAAAGAATTAATTTTGGTAAAACTGGGAAAGTTTAGATAAGGGACAATGAGGAGCAGATCTGTTCCAAATATCAAATTAGAGAAATGAACAACACAGGTGGAAGAAGAGGATACAACAGAGTAATATACTTGCATTAAATAACAGTTTTATTTTATCTCCTTAGTACTAATAATATCCAGGAGGTTTACTTGCTGTGTGTGAGAGTTAGGGGGCCTCTGACTGAGGGAAGGGTGTCAGGAGGGGAACTTCTTTTCTCTCAAATAATCAACAGATTAACAAGTGCAATAAACCACTGTGTTGTGGTTCTGTAGTGTGTGATATTCGGTAGATGGGGACTATACATGGCACCTTGTATTGGTGGAATGTGAATATAAAAATAGGATTATTCCTTAATACGGATTTGATGCAGCCGCAGAGGAATCATGTTTAGCATCTTTGATGGTTTTTGTCTTTTATGCCAGCTCTATGTGGCCACTGAAGCCATCCTCATCGCATTGGTGGGCGCAACTCCTCCCTACCACTGGGATCTCCAAGAGCTCTCAGCTAACCAGAGCCATGGCAACCAGTCAGTGAGCGAGCAGAGAGCTTTTGGGGAATGGCTTCTGACCGCCAATGGCAGTGAGGTGCATAAGCACGTACACTTCGGCAGCAGCTTCACATCAATAGTCTCTGAGGTAAGTCTGAAATGGGTTTTGCTGCCTCATGTGTGAGCAGGAAATCTTACTGGATTGGTAGCAAGGGGCTGGTTGTACTGCTTCTTGCTGTCATACTAATGCATGTTTTGTTTAACAAGTGAAATGTGCTACATCCAGGTCAAGAATGGGTAGTCTGCTCCTATCTGTAGCAGGAACAACAACTAGTTTTATTTTACTATTCAGATCTTGAGCAAAGGTCTGCTCCGAAACGTCCCACTTCTTCCATGTCAAAGTTCCGTAGCCTGTAGTCTAGTTCTGCAATTGAGCTCGAATCATGCCATTCATCATCCTAGCATGCTCAAAATCCACTATGGACCCTGAGCTCTTTTTGGCCACCTCTTGTGATTCCCTTGCTAAGGTCAGGTGCGTGTAGCGCATCCCTCATGCAGTGAGAAGCGGTGGAGGAACTGGAGAGGAAGATGCTTCTGCAGTCTTTGCAGCTCCAGATATGAGAGAAGATGTGGTCTGTGGGGAATCAGTGGACAAAGCAGCTCCTTCCATTCTATCTCCAAACAAGGCCTGACTGGCATGGCCTTTGTGGTTTGTGTCTTCTTTTGTGATCTAGCCACAGTCCCTACAGAAATGATTCAACACTGTGCACTGATTTGTTCAACACTTGTCTTTCCTGGGGCCTTCAGTCTCTGTTAACATCAAATTCTTCTGTGAAAGAGCCCTGAGTACATCTCTGAAAGACCTGAATTTAGAGCTGTACAGTTGAGTTGAATGTAGTACCACTTGATAATTCAGGGGTGTTGTCCAGAGGTAGTAATGCAATTTGATGTAGCCCTGCAAAGCACTTAACGTTATTGGTTGGGAGCATATTAATAAAAACTGCTAGATTTGAAAGTTCTAAGCAGTTATGTACAACAGGTATTGCTGCTCATTCTCATAATAAAGAGAATATGAGTATATATGCCAGAATTTCATTTAACATCCTCATGGGTGGTGGAATTCCTTAAGCATGATTTAAAGCTCAGAAAGGTTTTCAAACTTTCCCTAAGCTTTTTCTTTTTTGCTTTTTCTTTATCCAAGAATCTTCATTAGATATGTTTGTGGAGCCTGTGAGTGCTTTAGGAGTTAAACTTTATATTCTTGTGCATTTTAGTTGCATAAGTAAGAAATGCAGATAAAGAACAAAGTTTACTTGGAAAATACAAACCAAAAAGAAATCCCAAGGTAACTTCTGTAGGTCCTGCTTTTTAGTTCTTTAACAAACTTCTCAGTAAAGGCCCATGTGTGTTAAATCTTGTTACCTCTCCCATTTCCAACTGTTAAAATACATTTCCTTAAAAGTTGTTAATTGAATATGTGGTGTATTTGGAAGTTATGTGCTAAATAACTGAGATCACGCTTCTCTGGTGGTTCTCATCACTAATTTCATTACTGATGTATAAAGAAGTTTTTTCTACGTTTGAGGAGGATGTTTTTCATGTATGTTTTGTGGCATTACTTCCGAATAAGAGGACCATTGAAAACTGGCACTGAAACACAATCCAATGTAAAAAGGTTAAGTTGTGAAAATCAAACATGCATATGTAATGTGCTTTATATAGAAGAGGAAAGCCTGGAGCCCTTTAAAGGGCTTCATAGCTGTTGAGATTAATTTGCAGCACAAATATTGCTTTGCAACCAAATTATCCCTTAATCCCTGAATGATTCAGAAAGCGTCTTGAGTTTGAGTGCTGGCAGCTTTTGTATACCAAAAGTTAGGGTCTGATTCTTCTAACTCTTACGGAACACACTGGCCATGTTATTTCAAGATAAAATTAATCTCATCTGCTGTTATTGTACAAATGTATTTTTCTGAGAATTGTTTTTAAAACCTAGAGAAGCTTCTAAAGCTGATTTCTGGTCACGTGGTTGGTTTTAGAAGTGAATTTTGTCAATGTTGATGCTTTATGGGCACGTTACCTACTGTATCAGTAAACACCTCACCATTAAAGTGACAATTCAAAATGAAGCATATACTGAGAGTAAGCAAGTTATTTTCTTGGAGCTTCTGAATGATTTTGTTTTGCTAGCTCCCTAATCTTGGTGAGGTTTAATTGCATGGCTATGCACTCATGGTGAAGTAGTTCATAACTGAGCTTTGAAATAATATAAGCTTTGCTAGAAAGGATATCTAATGGGATTTTGGTAGAGGAAGAGAAGATTATGAGGAGAAGATTAGAGTGTTATTACAAGGATAATGACATAATCACGAGCTTACCAGCAGAGGAAGAAAAGTTGGGTGTCAGTAAAATGATACATTATCTCAAGATACAAGAAGAGTAGAAAACATAAAGAGCACAAGATATTTCCTTTTGTATTCTAAAAACTCTGTAACTTTTGAACAGTGAGAGCATGGCGTCTGTTCATTCTACAGATGTGTGGAGGGAAACCTGTCAGGTTCAACCTGAGACATGAAGTCTGTAAGAATCAAACATGTGAAAGTCAGGTTTGTATTTGGAATGGAGAAGAACTGGAAATGACATGAAGTACATTATAAAAGAGACGAGTATTTGCAATACCAGAAGACTTGGCTAATGCTACCAAAGTGTTTCTCAGTGACAAGACTCATAAAGAAGTTTATGAGCATATACATTAAATGGGAAGTTCAGGTTAGGTACAAGGAAGAAGTTCTTTACTGTGAGGGTGGTGAGGCACTGGTACAGGTTTTGCCCAAAGAAGTGGTGAATGCTCCATCCCTGGCAGTGTTCAAGGCCAGATTGGATGGAGTCTTGGGTAGCACGGTCTAGTATGAGGCCCCCTCCGCATGGCAGTGGTTTGGAACTGGATGATCTTAAGGTCCTTTCCAACCCAAACCATTCTGTGATTCTATAAGGAGGAGCATATACAGGATTATCTTTAGACATGCACCACAATTTTTATTTTTGCATAGCTTAACTACAGTAGTGTTATCAGATAGGACTGAGTCTGAGTTGCATTTATGTGAGAAAAGGCAATAAAAGGAAGACTGGGAGAAGGCTGCAAAAATGACAGTATTCCAAGGGTTCTGTCCTGGATTTTAGAATCAAAGATTGCACATGATTTGGAGGAACCAAATGGAGTTGGTTAGTACCACCCACTGAGTGGGAGACAGCAGCTGTGTTTGGTGACTGAACGTGAGGCTAAGGATATTTACACAAAGCTTGATCTTCCTTCAAGTATGTGTCATCCCCCCCCCCAGCTATTAGCTGTTGCTGAACTGCTTGGATTCTGGTTAATTCACTCTTTTTCCTCCATCCAGTGGTTTTTAATTGGCAACACATCATACAAAGTGAGTGCTGCCAGCTCTTTCTACTTCAGTGGTGTGTTTGTTGGAGCAATCTCCTTCGGCCAGCTCTCTGATCGCTTCGGGAGGAAGAAAGTCTATCTCACAGGTAACCAGTGCCACCTAACAACATGAATGAAGTGGAGGTGGTGTGGCTCTGAAGAAGTGGCAAGAGCCCAGTTTCTGCTGAGAGCTTAATATGCAGTAGTGAATCATATGCTGTAATTTTTGGTTTTGTTTTGTCTTTCCAGTATACTTCAGGACTATAAGCAGGAGCAAGAAATTAGTATTTGTCTATTCAGTCACCATCTGGAGGTGTTCTGGATTTAGGAATCATACCATACAGGCATCCACTCATGCATATCATGCTCATGAGATCTCTACATGTCGCAATTAATATTCCTGATAACTTACTGGCAATGTTCTTAATGTATAACCTGCTAGGAATTTGCTGTACTGATTAAATCATGCAGACAGGACGTAGATTTTATGTATGTGTGTTCTTCATTGTGTTTTAAAACTCAAAAGCCTTTTTATTGTCCCCAGATCAAACGAAATTCGGAACTTCATGTTATATGGGTGTATTTATGAAGTTGTGTGTCAATGGATTAGCGTGTAGTGCTAGAGCCAGATTATTTTCTTAAAGGAAAACCTCATTCAAAGCAGATAAAAGTAGCTTGCTATGCAGTGCCAACTCCCAATATACTGCCCCTGGTTCTGTTTCTCATCTCTAGTTTGCATAGACTGCTTTCCAAGAATGAGAGGAAGTACTTGATCATGTATTTCATCTGTGTCTTCTGTATGGGGATAAATATCAAACCAACTTAACTGGAGCCAGACAGTAATTCTAAGTATATGAGCAAAATCTGTTGTGAACTGAATTTGAAGGTTTAGGACTGCAAATTAACTGTCAGAAACCACTCCTTTTGTGTCCCCCTATTTATGATACTGACTGTAGGTACTTAAATTTCTGCCCAAACCTGTGTTGTAGTTGTTGATTGTGTTACTTAGGACAGATGCCACTGAACTTCAAGTAAAGATACTGATAAATGCTTCTGGTTTTCTTTAGGTAATCTTCTGAAATGGAACCTTTTGCCTTGTTTTCTAGGTTTTGCTCTCGACATCTTGTTTGCCATTGCAAATGGATTCTCACCTTCATATGAATTCTTTGCCATCTCTCGCTTCTTGGTAGGGATGATGAATGGTGGGATGTCACTGGTGGCCTTTGTTCTACTGAATGAGTGTGTGGGTACTGCTTACTGGGCATTAGCAGGTAAAGTTTGAGTGCAAATGTCCTTACTGCCAGATAGATTTCAGTTTTACACAGTTGACGCAGCAGAGCTAACACCATAGCAGCTGCAAATTTAACTCTGCTGGAGCATCTGTGTGACCACAGTCTTGAGTCTTGCTTTGTCTAATATGAACCTTAGACAAACACAGTAGATGACTTGGGGCCATTCAGATTTCTGCATCACTGAAGTTGACAAAGGTCCAGTTGAAACATCCCCTGTGAACATTAGACAGCTAAATTACTCATCCAAAGTTCACAATAGCTGAGCTCTATCCATCACAATGTTGGACTGTGCTAAATGGAGTTTAGTGTTTGCGTGCTAATACCAGTTCTTTCATTCCTGGCAGTTCTCAAAAAATCAAAAGTGTTTATATAATGGGAAGATAACTGCCATGGGGTAACCAGCCTTAGAATTGAGAACAGAAGATACCAACACCCGTAACTGTCTTGGTTGTTAGGGTTGAAGCTGTCCTTCAGATGTGATGTGTAATATTGTTCCATTATGGCTCTGGGGCCTCATCCAGTCTGTGATGAAGTTCAAAAGTGCTATGTTGAGATTGTCATAAAATAGGGTATCTTGAAAATCATGAGAACTACAAATGAATACTACATATTTCTGAAAGTACCAGTTTTCTAATGGTTTTCAGTATTTATTTTTACACATACAAAGCTGAAACGTACATTTGGAATTACAAGATTCAGTTGTTTATGGGGCTGCTTTGGGTGAGGAGGATTCAGAAGAGTGATTTGGGCTTGTACTGATCTTTGCAGTTACCTGTAATACCTCTGCCCTGCATTGGTGAAGGACACAATATTCTTTGGTCAGATAGCTGTGGTTTTGCCTGTATTGCTGAGTGACTTTTTCTTAATGAAGTGAAAGTTTGTCTGATTCCATGTGTTGAGAGTCGGTAATATTCCTTAAAGGAGTAATAATGTTTTGTTTTGTTTCTAATTGTATGCTAGGATCTATTGGTGGCTTGTTCTTTGCTGTGGGAATTGCCCAGTATGCGTTGTTAGGGTACTTCATTCGTTCCTGGAGGACGCTGGCTGTTGTGGTTAACCTGGAAGGAACAGTCGTCTTCCTCCTCTCTCTGTAAGTTGTTTTCCAAACTGAGTTTCATCAAGAAAGATGTCAAAACCAAGAAACAAACAAAACCATTGAACAAACCAAACTACTCAGTCAAGGTGCCTTTTTAGGATGGCATGAAATGGTGTGATTAAGGTATTTCTCTCAACCTTCACCACCCCATGTTTTGTACTTTCTTTAAATAGTATTGCTGCAGTATTTGAAAGTAAGTGTACACTTTATTCTGTATGCATTATTACTGTAGATGAGATGCAGTCTCAAGAGTAGCGTAGAAGCACTTCCTATTCTTTAACTGGTATGCGTAGGTCTAAACTGGTTTGGTATGCTACAAGGTGCTATATATACACGTTAAGAGATACAAAAGTATTTATACGGGTTTATGATAATATGATGCTTCTCTTACAATTGTACTAACACAGAAGGAACAGCATCAAAAATCCTTGCACATACAGTCTTAAAGGTAACATGAAATTAAAAATAGGTAGCTTCCTTTTATTTTTTCAAATATGATTAAGAAGAAATAGGAAGAAGGCTCCTTTATTAAGATAGTAGGGGGTCTGTGTTTGTGGATTCTGGCACTGAAAGCTATATGATGCAGTGTTCTCTTCTTACATGCTTCCTGACAGGAAAATCTCAGTAACTGAAAGAAGAAAATAACTTCAGCTGCTGTTTAAACTTAAGGGTTTTTTCCTTCTAACTTCAATAACTTTTTGAATAAAAGTCTTTGCTAAAGAGTCAGTCCATCCTTTCAAAAGGAAGCGTCAGAACTTAGGGAAGACATGAAGTAAAAGCTTTTTAGCTTTCAGATTGATACGTACAGCCTTTTGAAGTGCCTTATTCATGGGACTTCAGAGCTGTGCTCAGAGGTTTATCTTAGTATAAGAAAGGACTTTTTTTACTCCAAGTTTCACACTGCCTCCCTCCTACACTGCTTAAAAATTACTTGTGCAAGAAATACTACCAGTTTGGGCTTTTTTTTTTTTTATTGTGGGAAAGAAAACCTGTTCCTTTCCAAGCTCTTTTCATTTATAAAAGCACAGATTTGCTTTCCTTTAAATTTAAAGGGAAAATGTCACTTCTGGTCAGAGGCAAAAATCTTACAAAGCTCTGGCAAAAGACTAAAGCTTAAATTACTTCTGGGAACCTGAAAGTAATAGATTTGCTTTGTAGGCTGTGTTGGAGTTATAGATCTATCAAGTGAGCAGTGCACATGGGGAGCAAGAGCATGACCTTTGCACAGCCTCTGCCTTCCTTGTCTACAGGAGAGAATTTGGGGAAAAGTTGGGAAATAAGAAATGGAAGACAACAAGTTGGTGTTACAAAAACATCGTCTGTTACTTGTAACAATGTGGTGAATCCTTAGTTCTCTGAAGGCAGGGTCCTGATGATACTGTAACGTGTAGTATTGTGCATATATGTATGTTTATTAACTTCCTGGTATCTAAATTGCATATGACTTATGTTCCCTTTCCTTTCAACACGCCTTGTCTCTGTTTCAGTAAGTGAATTTTATACCTGAAAGGTTGATTGAAAAATTGTTTGTTACACTCAAATGTATTTCAGCTTCATTTCCATAGGCAAGTCAGCCTCACAGAAAGAAAAATCCTAAGGCTGTCTGTGTATGCATGTGTGTTTCAGATTCATCCCAGAGTCCCCCCGCTGGCTGTATTCCCAAGGCCGGCTGAATGAAGCAGAAGATGCCCTCTACCTCATTGCAAAGAGGAACCGCAAGCAGAAGTGCACTTTCTCATTAAAACTCCCAGCAGAGAGGAGCTCCAGAGAGGCTGGCAGCTTCTTGGACCTGTTCCGATACAAGATCCTCTTGGGACGCACGTTGATCATGATGTTTACCTGGTACTTGAAATACTTTCTAGGCCCAGCTGTGTGGCTGCTGCCTCTTTTGAGTCATTGAGAGGAAATGTTGCTCATCCTGCAGATTATACTTAGCCTGTATGATTAGGGATGCTGTACCTAAAAATGATCCTTTTATTATAGTATTTGCTTAGTGCATTTTTAACAGGAAGCCATTTTGCCAGTCTAGTTGTGAGGTGTTTTATCTCTGCATTTTTGTCATGCTTTGAGAGTCTCAAATTAATTAACTGCCTCTTCTTTTCTGGCCCTTAAAGGCTGCTGAGGGTTAGTTATGCTGTTCTGTGTCCCATGCTGTGTCAGTACTTCCAGTCACATGGATTATTCTTGGTTTTGTATATAAGGAGCCCATTAACAGGGGGGTAGCCTACCTTGTCAGATGAACATGTTCAACCCATGATGCTCTAGTCACCAGCAGAAATCTAATTCCAAAAGTGCCTGTTTTGCTACAGATAGCTCTGCTAGCCCTGAGGTCTTTTGCTGCTACTTTGAAATAAACCTTGTGTATGATGTGTTACATGAGTCTTCTGGCATTTCTGTTCATACATTTGTTTTTATAATGCATGTATTTGAGGAAGATGTATTGATCAAGAAGAGAACAAATGGCAGCATTTTCTTAGTAGACAACACAGAGCTGTTTTCCTGTTGCTTTTCCAAAATGGTTACTGCAGGCCAGTTGATTTTTCTGTTCCTTAAATGAGAATAGGTTGTCCAGGGAGGTTGTGAATGCTTCATCCCTGGCAGTGTTCAAGGCCAGGTTGGACGAAGCCTTGGGTGATATGGTTTAGAGCGAGGTGTCCCTGCCCATGGCAGGGGGGTTGGAACTTGATGATCTTAAGGTCCTTTCCAACCCTAACTATTCTATGATTCTATAATTGCTGATTTCCTGCAAGATGAGCTAGTTACCAGTTCCTTTGCTCTCTGTAAAGGTGATAGCCAGGCAGTGATACAAAAGAAAAATTAAAAGACACGAATGAATAAAACTAGACCAGGGTGTAGACAGTAAAAGAAGGTGGATGTGCTGTCTGAACTGTTTGAGAAAGGGTTTACACACAACTGGAACAGGATGGATGAAAGTGGAAGCTGATAAAACCAAAAAAGACCAAGGCATAATTTCTCAAGTCAACTAATATAGTCATATTTTAATTTTATTCTGGTTTACGTATGTTCTCAAGTGTAGTCCTAAGCTTAACGGAGTAATAAGTCAGGAATTGGGTCTGTACAGAGGCAAAATGGTTTCTTTCCCTTGGAAGCACAATACTTGTAGGGTAACATGTTAGACCTTCTGAAACTCTAAATATGGTTTATGGTGATTTGCCAGACCAGTGCTTTCATTTGGCAGGCAAAGTGGCAGCTCTGATTTTATTCTTTTTCTCCTTTTTGCAGGTTTGTGTGCAGCTTGGTTTACTATGGTCTTACCCTAAATGTGGGTGACTTCGGTGGAAGTATTTATGCCAATTTAGCCCTTTCAGGGTTGATAGAAATCCCAGCATACCCAATCTGTATTTACTTGATTAACCAAAAATGGTAAGTATGACATTTATTAACCCAAACCTATTCAGGGTTTTATTTTTTTTTCAATTTTACTCAAAGATAGGTTTCCTATATGTTGCATCTCCTAGTTTATATCTATGTATGGAGCTTCCTGCTTCAATTCGAAAGTGCCATTTTGTTTCAAATAAAGTTTAACTTGCTCTCAATAGCTTAGTTATTAATGAGCTGTCTGAATTTGGCTCAGATGATGCTGATCCCATGATCAGTTGAACCAAGCTGTGCTAACCCCATGCTAACACAAGATGGCATTCTTCCCACCTCTCTCTTGTAGTCCCCATTCCCACTATTAGGTCAAAGCGGTTGCATCTAAACTCAATTAAAGCTGTCGTCTCATTTCATGTAATAGTTGCTTGCATGCACTAGGATGTGAGCAGAGCCATTGATTCAAATATTCAGCCTTTTCCTGAGCCATGATACTCTGGACAATGCCTTTCACTTTTTGTGGAATTGACCTCCCAGTCTCTTCTGCCCGTGTCTCCTGAGGAGCTTTACAAGCGTGCACCCACAGTGGGAAACAAATCAAAATCCTAGAAGTTGTAAGCCACTACATGTAAAGACTTCTGGTGCTCATTTTAAGAGAGCAGTAGAAGCCATTTAAAAGTGTGAGAGGAAGTGTTTGTGGGAGATGGCATTCAGGATCCTCAACTGCAAATAAAGAGGCAGGATGAATTTGGAGGACTTACTGCTCTGCAAACGACAGATCTAATGCAGAATAAAGCTTTGTTATCCTTGCACATCAGGTTTGGTCGGAAGCGAACACTGAGCACATTTCTGTTCCTGGGAGGATTGGCTTGTCTTATTGTCATGTTCCTTCCTAAAAAGAAAGGTAAATGCTTACTTTTGTTTCTGGAGTGTGTGATGAGAATTGTTAAACACAGCATCCTATAATCTAAGAATATGATGGTTGCCAGTAGATTAGGTTCATACCACACGTGAGTCCCAATTTTTGAAGCCAGAGAAGGTAACTCACAAAAAGGCTAAGCAGCAGCCTTCCTAAGATCTTAAGGAAACCTTGTTGGAAAGGGTTGGATTTGAGCTTTTGTCTTTGGATTCTGCCCTGTATTTCTGATAACATCAGTCACTCCTTTCCAGTGTTTCTGACTTAATCCCAAAGACTGATGCTATTTGGGGTATCTCCATAAACCAAATGATATGTTGGTGTAAGTAGTATGCATGCAACTTGTATTTATCTCTCCAAGGGAAACTCCAGTGTCAGAAGATCTTAAGAATGGAATCTTGGGGCAAGTTTCCATCTTTTCCTCACTGCTCTGTAATGTTCAAGACTGGTATAACTGTGATATTAGTAATGTGGTCACATATATTTCAAGACAGAAGTCTGAAAATCTTCTGAAGCAAGGGGTTTTTAAGAAATGAGAGATTAAATGTCTTTTTTTGTAGACACACTGTGCTCATTTCTTCATTTCTGAATTTCTTCAGCAGGATGGAAACAAAAGTATACCATGAGTGGTTTTTCTTTTTAAAACTGGGTGCATAAATTCTTCTAAGGTTGTAAGATTTGTGTGTGTTTAGCACCTGCCGTAAGGAGAGAGAAAGCTGCAAAGGTTTGCAGCATGATTCAGGAAGGCTAAACGCTTATGATAGCGTGCCAGAGTTACTCTAGATGGCTATGAATCTAATAGTTAAAGAGGAGTAACTCAGGTGTCCAGAAGTAATCCAGATGCTGGAGCCCAGGCTCAGATATTCTGGTTAGGCTGGTACCTGATACCAAGCACATTTTGCATATTAGTTCAAGTACAACATATGGAAAAGATTTTCAGAGCAGAGGACTGTGAGACCTCAGGAAATAATCCGTGTGCTGAACTGCTGAAGTTGGCCAGGAGCAAAGTGCCTTAGGAAGCCTGATGTATTCAAGGCGGCAGTGGTTTATTCTGTAGCCTTCCTTGGTAGGCATGTAACGTGTCTTCTGATGTGCTTGGTATGAGTAAGCACTGGCTGTTCTGACAAACAGTATCAAGCCCGTGCTTTGTTCTGTACTTGAAGGTATAGATCAACTTAGACAAACTGTCCTTTAACAGAAAACTGCTTGGTTCTCAGCAAATTCTTCAGTGGGTTTGCTTTCATTCCATGCTGTTGTGTGATTGAAATGATTATAGAGATGTATTTGAGTGCTCAAAAGCCTTACAGGGATCACATTTTCTCTGTCAGATACTGGAGTGTTCGCAGTGGTGAATAGTCGCTCTCTGTCTTTGCTGGGGAAACTGACAATCAGTGCTGCATTTAACATTGTCTACATCTACACATCAGAACTTTATCCCACAGTGATCAGGTAACACAAGTTAATTTTAAGGTCTTCATTTTTACTGGTCTCTTACCTGATCACCTTTACTTCTCTTTTTTTTTTTAACTATACCTTTTAATTTGAGGTTTTCAGTTACATATAATGATTATATGTAGTTTACATGCTCAACTTCTTGCTTTATCTCTTAATTTCCTCTTCCCTCAAATTTGCTGTGCTTTTTCATACTAACCATATTCTTTATATAACAGTAAAGTATCCCTTTGGCTGCTTGGTGTGCTCACAGCCCTCTCTCTGCTGTGAGGATAACAATAGTATTGCTGATACTTCTTTAATGTGTGATATCTGACTTTTTCAGTGCTTCATAAGCCACACAACTGTATTCAACATTCATGCTTGCTGAACCGGCACCACTGAAGATGACTGGTCAATAAGCTTTGTAACATTAACTTGATACTTCATAGGCCATAGGTTTCACTAACTAGAAGCAGAAGTACCCCATGCTTGTGCTGACAGAGCAGACAGAAGCATCTCTCATATGGATGTAATTTTATTAGATATTTTAAGCAGGTATTGTTGTTGATGATCTGCCACCAGTGAAACTATACTGTGGTGTTTTTCATGGGTGGGCAAGACTGCTCATAATAGGATTTGGATAAAGGAATCTAGCCGAAGTTTCAGGCAGAGAAGATGCATTAACTGAAATTGCACTTCTTTATGCCTCTCTATGTATGTATGTATGTTAGAATTCTGAACATGAAAGGGATTTGTGCTTCTAAGCACGAAGCACGTTTTAATTCCTGTCTTGGGATTCTTTCACTTACATTTGACTTTGTCAGTTACTGTGGTTGGGGTCATGACTGAACTGTGGGGTTTCTTCCTTGCTCGATGGCCCTTTTCAATATGCACATGTCACTGATTAATGACTTTTCCTTACTTCTCAGAAATGTTGGAATGGGTGCCTGCTCCATGTTTTCCCGGGTCGGCGGAATCATTGCTCCATTCGTCCCTTCATTGGTTTGTCTGAACTTCTTACTATTACATATATTTTTGGTCTGTGGCTCTGACTTAGCAGAGGCCTGCAGAGGTGGGAATAACTTGGATAAGTTATGGGTATGAACTAAGATATGTGAATTACATATCTTAACAGTAACACGGTAGGCCAAAGGCATTGCAATATAATCTGTGTGATTAGACAAAAATCAACATTATTTAGTTCAGAAGGTGTTTTAGCTCTGTAAGAATTTTGGGATTTAGCTGGTGGACTTTAGCAATACAGTAATTTCCATTTCAAAATGGTGATGCTCAACTTTAAACCCTAAGTGAGCAGTAGCAAGAAGCCCACATAGTTAAAAGATCTGCTACATCAATATAAAGCATATGGGTTTAACTTATGTATCTGAGAATAAATTGGTTTTGCTATCAGTGCACTTCATTGAATATCCACGAATTATAGTTGTTAGCAAAGTGGTTTATCCTTCAATGAATGAAGATGGTGATGGTGTTCAGTGGTGGACTCGGGAGTCCTGGGGGAATGGTTGGACTTGATGATCTTAAAGGTCTTTTCCAACCTAGCTGATTGTATGATTTTATGTGGAGACTTGATACGCAGCAAAGCTTTTGTGCACAAACTTCACAGCAGTCTGTTAAGGCAAGAAAATTCTGAAGAACAAAACATGGGCACGATACTGTTATTTTCCTCTGTGTTCATAGACTTGTGCATGCAGGTAAAAGTGTGCCAGTTTTTCACACAAACTGCTTGTTCAGGTCAAGTGACAATTCCTTTAATGTGACATTTCATCTGGAATAACTTCCCTCTCTGCCATTTGCCATCTTCTTATGTCAGGCAGAGGGCTAGCAAAAGGGTAGATGAGCACAGTGAGCCTTTTAATCTACAGAATGAAACACAGGGTAGGTGAGAGTGTGAGCACCTCTGGGGTACAGCAGGCAAAGCCAAGACTGGTGCAGGTCTCCCGGGTAGGTTTAATAGGCAGCTTTTATGTCGCGTTTGAGGAGTCTGTTATGTTGTGCCTAGCAGAGATTTCGCACTGCAGGAGACACAAATATTGGATCATAATGTTTGAAGGCATCCAATTAAAGTGAAAATAGCTCTGTTTAAGTAACAAATTAACACTGATTTGAGGAAAGAAATATTTTTGTGGTTTGGAATTTCTTCAACTATTTTAATGCATTTTCAGTATCTTTTGTCTGGGGATATTATAAAAAGGGTAGGAAGGGAAAAAGTTAATTGCTGAGGTAAGAGATCAAGTGTTGCTCTTCTACTTGATCACAGCCAGCCATTTTCTCAATTTAGAATTGCTTTTTGCTATACAAAGTGATCTTTTTGAAACAAACAGCTAAAATCTTGCCTTTTAAACAAGCCTGGTTTACTGGTTCTACAGTGAACGTACACATTTTGGAGCTGTGTTGTAGATGACTCCTATTTTTGCACACACCATCCCCTAGAGTAGTTTTGCCTGTAACAAGCCATGTAAAAACAGGAAAAGGCATAGAGGGGTAAAGACATTGCTTAGGCTGTAGGGATAACAGGAAAGCCAAAGCTCAGTTGAAGCTAAAACTAGCAAGGAGCATAAATAGGGATTCTATCAGCTAAAGGTAATTTAAAGAAAATGTTTAGACTGATGTTGAATGGGTTGGGCATCCTGTTGGTGGCTGAAATAATTTTCCTTTAGTCTTCATAAGCAAAGCCTGACCCCAGGACTGTTCATACCAGCACTGTTGAGGAAGCAAAGAGCCAGCAAGCACTGGAGGAGTAATACGTTCAAGAACAGTTAAAGCTGAAAGCTTTCCATTCCATGCAATAGGGTTCTCTAAGAGGTGGTGAAAGAGCTGGCAGAGGTAGTGAGGTAAGTGTCCATCATCTGTGACAGGCTGTTCTAGAGAAAGATCACTGATAACTCTTGGGGGAGACAGGTGATGCGATGTGCCTCTTTAAGGTTAGAAAGTGGATCCAAGGAGTTACAGGCTGAGCAGCTCAAACTTTGTCTTGGGAAGATGATGTGACATGGCCTCTCAGAGTCTGCTTCCGAGCATCTGAAGGCCAAGAAGGTAATCAGGACCAGCAAATGTAGATTTACTATGGGCAGTTTGCTCTCAGCCAGCTTGGTTTGATAGTCAGCCATTTCATTGCAGAAAGTAATATGGATGAGAAGGGCTGGGAAGGCTTTTGACACACTGTCTTGCGATATTCTTGTTTGGAAGCTGAGGAGGTGAGTCCTGATGAAAGGAATGTTTTATTTGAATGCTGCATGTTTACCAGGCTCAAAGGAATAGTGACAGGCTCAGTATTTGGTAGCTGGTGGCACGTGGAGGACCGAATCCATCCTCCCCTTATTTCTCGAGGATGCAAAATAAGGAGGAGGGATTGACACACCAAGTGGTAAATCCTGAGTGGGATCTTCTGGGTCAACAAGACCAACAAGAAGAAGAAAATTCTGTTGTCATATGGACTTATCACATGGTCAGTACAGGCTGGGAACCAAATGACTGAGTAGCAGCCTTGCTGGAAGAGACCTGGGAACATCAATGGATGTCAAGTTAAATGGGAGCTAGCAGTGTCCTCTCATGACAAACAGACAAGCTTCACACTGTGCTATGTCAGGCCCAATTCAGTATGTAGCCCATAGATTAAGTTTCCTCCCAGTTCTAGAGGGATGTTGAAAAATCAGGAGGATCCAGTGGAGGGTAAACCAAGATGGTCAGGGCTAGGGCCCATGGCTTCACATGAAAGCTTGAGGGAATATTGCACCTTTTATCTTCCCAGCAGTGTGGAACAGTTCAGCAGGGGTCAGTGGGACAAGTTTTGGCCAGGGCATTAGATAGGAAATTTGGAAAGTATTCTTTTAAAGGCTTATTGCAGCCCTAGAAGAGCCTACACAGACGGAGAATCCGTCCTTGGAGTCTTTTCAATACTTGGTTACATAACAATAAGATTGACCTAGTGTAGTCTTGGCTGTAGTTGTGCTCAGAGTAGGTGCTTGGCCTAGGTGACCTCAAGAGAACTCTTCCAACCATCATGTCTATGTCTGTGATACCTCTTTCCTACTACAAAGTGATGTTGCATTTATTAAGAAGAGTACGTATATTATGGACAAGAACTGAGTGTAAATTCAGCAGCTATTTCTTTAAAGTCCATCTCTAAATCTGTGTTGATCTAATAGTATTGATAAGATACAATTGACAATATTGGTTAAAAAGAGTAGGATAGGTAACTTTTATGCTAAATATGAATGTAAGCACTTGCCAGATGGAATGGTTGTCAAGGCTAAGTGCTTTAATATGCAGTATGAATTAGAGGGAACCTAACTCAACCTAACTCTCTTCTTTTTCTTTTTCTTCAGAAATCTGTACAGTGGTCTCTGCCTTATATTGTCTTTGGAGCAACTGGTCTTTTGTCTGGACTCTTAAGTTTATTATTGCCAGAGACCTTAAACAGCCCTTTGCTAGAAACTATTTCAGACCTGCAGGTGTGCTCATACTGGAGGCTGGGTGATGAAGCCATGTCATTGCAAGCCCTAGATGGCTCTCAGGTATATTCACAGTTTGTTGGTGGTTTTTTTCCTACTACTTTTCTGTTGTGTTTATTTCAGATGTCAGCTTGAATATGCCACTCTGAATAGATGAGGATGGTGATTCTTGGCCTGTGGAGATTAAGCCACAGGGAAATATAGAAGGTAGTTTAGTAACCCTACTGTCGCATCTGAAATGTGTCTGGAATTGCAGGCTGAAACCCAGCTGGGTTAATTCCTTTCCTCAAGGCCAAAAGCTTACGATCTTTTCCTTTGGGATAAAAGCCTCTCTAATAGCTAAGATTGCTGGAGCATGCTTCATGCAAAGCTGGCCATTGAAGTTTGAGAAGCCTCAGGTGTTAAAGAAAGCAGAAGCTTATTTGTGAAGAGCTGTTCTAAAAGACAGCATGCTACTGCCTTGACCTGCGCTGGCTGTTCTGCTATGTCAGTTGTTAGGTCTACCCTAGAGAGTCTTTAAATGGGTTAAGGCTAAACTAATCTCTAGGATCTGTTCCTCTGTTGATTCTGGGAAATGAGTTTCATTGAAAACATCGGAACTACAAAACTCCCAGGCATAAGCATAACAAAATGTGGCAGCAGGATGTTTTTCAGTGGGGCTTCCTTGAATGTTGTCTTTTCATATCACTTTATACTTCATTTTATCTAACTCCTACACACCTTTTGAGGTAATGCACATTTTCCAGTCATGTGGAGGGTTGGCTTTGTATGTGCCTGCACCTCTGAGATTGGAGTGAGATTAGAGAGAAGTATCTCTGGAAGTCCCTGAAAGTGTTCATAAACCATATAGGTGAGGCCTTGGGTGACATGTTTTAGTGGTGACTTTGGCAGTCCTGGGGTAATGGTTGGACTTGATGATCTTAAAGCTCTTTTCCAGCACAGTCGACTCTGTGATTCTGTGAATTTGGGTAAGGTTTTAATGCTTAAACCCCAGTCCCAAAATTTTAAGTATTGATGGGCTAATCCAAATGGAAGTAGTCAGAAACTTGAAGGGCAACTCCTAACCAAAAATGCTTGTCGTCCCTTAAGGCTGCAATGAGATGGGATCCTTGTGACACCTTTTACTTTGATTAATTTTCAGTCAAGCAGTCTGGGATTTGCAGACATTCATAAGCTTATTTTCACAGAAATCAGGAGGCAGAGTAACTCTTATTTCTAGAATGAGAGCAGTTGCTTCTTTTCAAAGGCTTCAACACACTGCCTTGTTTCCCAATTTTAGCTGTAATAATTCTTGACAGGACAGAGCAGTTTAGTGACAAAACCATCCTTGAAGAAAGCTTGGAAGAGGCAGCCCTGTAATGATTAATTTTATACTTTAGCTACTTTACATGCACATTTTACAAACGTTTTTAACCATACTGGATAATGTGTTATGGCACCACATTCTTGCTGGCTGCACAAATCCATCACATGCACTTACTTCAAGTTTACACCAGCTGCTACTTGGGTAATTACATCATTATTACATCTTAACTGTGCAGATGGCTTACTAACAACAAATAATTCCAGCAGACAGTGCACGTGTTACAACTTAGACGTGGGAGAAAATCACATTTCCATTTTCATTTTCCTTTCTAACCAAGTACAACTCAGTACTGCTCTTTGAGGTGGTAAGTATTGCCCCCTATCAGTATGTGCCCAACTTAGTTCACTTATATCACAGGCTGCTTAAAAATCCTAACCTGAACAGGATCCACAAAAGGGAAAGAAAAAATATTTTTGAGGAAAACTTTTCCCCAGATGGATTAGAATTATTGAATCCAAATTAAATAAAAGTTGGTTCAGACCTGAAGTTATCCTGTAACTGAAGTAAGGTTATATCTGGAATGTCTGTGACACATTAGGGGTTTATTTTAAAGCTCACAAAGCACTGATAAAAGGGAAAGCTATTGAACATTAACCTTATTTGACAAGGCCATGGAGAGGTCTTATGAAGCTGTGGTAAGAAAGGTGTAGAATTATTTCACATACTCTGAATTCCCCCTGTGGAATTCATTGTCCTTTTGTACCGCTTTCAAGATAACGTGTTCTGGTTGCCCAGGATGGTGGTTTTGTCCCTGTTAACATACATGAATGTGATATTCAAGTTGGGCAGCATCCAGTGATAGCCTGACTTTCCTCAAATAATTTTAGAACTCCAGAAAGAAGCATAACACGATTCCCTTTATATTTTCTGCCAGTTCTTAGTGCTCAAACTGTTTGAAATTCCTTTGCAGTGAGCGCACATTGCTGTAGCAAAACTCCCTCTGAAGACAGATCTAAAGCTACAGATTTTGCTTGCATGGTACTGTCAGTCGGGAACATAATTTCCATTTCTCTATTTTTCACCCTCTCTCTCACCCTTTGCATATGACTAAGCAGGCAGAAGTCTTAGGATGAATGGAAGCATACTGGGAAAAATCCTAAATAAACTAGATGGAATTTATACTTTTTAACTGGAATGATTTGTATCCAGTCCATGGAAAAATGTTATGCTGTCCAATTAAGAATTAACTAACTGTAATGGCTAACTTTAGTTTCTGTATATGATATAAATTATGTTGCTAAAAGGACCGGCTGGAGTAAGTATGCATACAATAGGGAATTTACTCTCTGAACATATAAAGTGCTAATGTTCTCTTCCCTTTTCTATAACCTCTTCGCTTAGTATTGCAGGAGGATGATCTTAATTAAACTTGCATAGGAAAATGCCCGTGCTACACATGGAGAAGTAATAATTCAGATGGAGAAACTTTTATCTAATCAAGTAATCTGTGTGTTCTGAGCCTGTTTCCAGCAGCTCACCATAGAGTAGGGGCCTTTGAATTTAAGAAAGCTGAACAGATTGTCACTTCATTCCAGACAGTCTCTGTCCTGCATGTATTCTCTAGTGTACTCATGGAGCAGAGAAAGACCATCTATTGGAAGCCCATCTCTTCTAAAGACGTTTTGAAGAACCAAGGTCACAAAGAAATATCAGTTCACATAATGGCTTTTATAAGTTTTAATACCATGATTTGACCTATGTTTTCTTACTTTTTTTCTCTCCTAGCATTCCCACAGAGGTGTAATGATTGCTTATGTACTTTTAGAGAGAGCTTCTGTGCTAACCAGTGACTCTGTTTTCATTTCTAGTCTGGAGACAAAGACTGCTCTACAGGGAGTGGAAGTGAAGATGAGGAGTTTTATGATGCTGATGAAGAGACTCATATGATCAAGTAATGAAAAGAAGAAACACTGTCCTATTTTATGCCTTTTCTTAATTGTCTGGGCAGTCCAGCCGTAAGATGAGTACTGGGGACCTCGTCTGTCAAGGAATGTCGCTGGGCAAGTGCCTGTGTTTCTCCTGACTAGCAGAGGGGTTTGAGTACTGTTCAGACTAATTACACCACTGATGCTCTCCATACCAGGCATCCATTCAAATTCTTATGGTTTATGGTGATGGTGCATGGACCACAGTTGAAGTTAGGTGAGACAGCAAGGGTAGGACTGTGTATGTGTGAAGCCTGGGCAATCACCTAGGCTTAGACATGTTTGGACAGCTCATCAGTGCACGTTTGTATTCTGTTTTCAAGGTGGTTGATTTTGATTCAGTATAAATTGATAAATTTGGAAACATCCACTGTTTGTTTTTATATACGGTGCAAGTGGTCTCAGAGTGTGCTGTGTTGCTACTTCAGTGGGAACAAATTCCTGAAATTGTATGTTAAAATGGCTTCTGCATATTGAATAGGGGAGAGGCAACTATGAACATAAGGTTTCTCTCTCTCCACATAGGCACTGTATAAAGTTACAGGGTGCATCTGGTTAGTCATGAGCTGTGCATTCATTAAGTTAGCTATAATGGAAGTCTGGGAGGAAGGACTATAGAAAAGAGCAACCATAAAGCCTGCAGAATAAAGGACATTACTGATCTCTTTTTTCCCTTCTTTTCATCTACCAAGTGTTTTCTTGGGGTTAGGCCTACATCTGCCACATCTTCCGCCACATCTTCCCCCCCATCTCAGCACTGCTGTTTGTAGCTTTGCCTACCTTTACCTTGTCCTCACTCTGCCATAAATATTGAACCTCAGCAATTTCTCTGTGCAGTGAAATATTCTGTGAAGTATATAATTTCCTGGCTGGGACATAGGTGAAGTATTTATCACATACTCTGTGTTGTGAGGTATGTGTTAGAACATATAGCTCATCTTTTGTTCACCTATCTGTGTCTTTATTTCTGAAAGAAACTGGATTCTGAAGTGATACGAGGAACTGTGGGTTGCTGTTACATTTTGGAGATTATTGCCAGGAAGCTGCTAGTATTTATTTTAAAATCTTGTGTGTAGATAGTTATTTAAAATAAAGAGGGGAAGAGGGTGGGAAGGCAAAACCTCTTTGAGATAGCATTTGGTTACTTGATGTTGTTTCTTAACCAAGTGCTTGCTCAAGCAGTTAGTTACTTGACCTTGTTGAGGAAGACAGCTTCACTCTCCAGTTGACACTGAGTGCTTCATTAGAAGGATATGGAATACTGAAATATGAAACAAACACAAGAGATGTTTCAGCTACAAAGATGAGGCCTTACAAGGGTTCAGCTTTCTTGATGATGTTGCTGTCTTCATCCTCTAACCTGTGGCTTTGTGCTGATTAGAATTGACTTCCATGAAACATTTGTTAGTCATTATACATGGAGTTCCTAGCAAAGAGCCACGCAGTGGCAGCAAGTCTATTGTCAGGCTCGCTAGCCATTGTTGTGCATGTTAGACTAAGGGAAAGCTGACTGCTGAATGTTTTCTGGTTAAAATCAGAAGCTCCTTTACTCCGAAGTGAAAGTAAAGAAAGAGCACGCGAGGTCTGAACTTGAACTTTGTTCACTGGCGACTGTGCTGAGCAAAGTGAAGCTACCCTGCTTGGTGCAGAAGGCAGCCAGAGACTGCAGGTTCATACACGGAGTGCTTCCAACTGGCCTGAACTTAATCCAGGCATTGACCGAGAGCAAAGTTGGGAACTTCATTCCCTGTGGAGAATGTGTCAACATCGTTGTGATTTTCTTGCCTGTTGTGAGCTTCACTACAAGAATTCCAGCTTCCAGTGTTCACTTCTGGGGGCTGGGGTTTTTTTAAGACTGCTAAATAGTTTTAGATGTGGCAGAGCACTTTAAAACCCAGCTGGATAGTCTGTCGGTCTTATTTGGCCCTTTTGTATGCAAGAAAATGGCTCCAAATCAGGTACCCCAAAATACTTGGAAAGGTTGAATGTGTTTATTCAAAGAATTTTAAAGTTTTTCATTCATGTTCTGAATTATGGACAGCTGGGAAATAGCTTCTGAGTAAATAAAACGTGTTTACTCAGAAGCAAACAGTGGTAATCTTGGCTGTATTAACATGCTAGGGAAGTAAGAATCCCCCTGTGCTGGGCACTGGTGAGGCTGCACCTCAAATCCTGTGTGCAGTTCTGGGCTCCTCACTACAAGAGAGACATTGAGGTGCTGGAGTGGGGCCAGAGAAGGGCAATGGAGCTGGTGCAGGGCCTGGAGCACAAGTGTGATGAGGAACGGCTGAGGGACCTGGGGGTTTAGTCTGGAGAAGAGAAGGCTCAGGGGGGACCTTATCACTCCCTACAACTGCCTGACAGGAGACAGGAGAATGGAGTGAGGTGAGGTCAGTCTCTGCTCCCAAGGAGCAAGGGATGGGACAAGAGGAAACGGCCTCAAGCTGCACCAAGGGGAGGTTTAGACTGGAGATGAGGAACAATTCCTTCCCCAAAGGGTGCTCAGGCATTGGAACAGGCTGCCCAGGGCACTGCTGGAGTCACCGTTCTTGGAAGTGTTCACACACCGTGTATATGAGGCCCTCAGTGCCATGGGTTAGTGGTGGCCTTGGCAGTGCTGGGAACAGTTGGACTTGATGGTCTTAAAGGTCTTTTCCAACCTGGTTGGTTCTGATTCTGTGCTGCCACGACCCACCAGGTCTTTGCTGCCTTTGTCTTTGTCTCTTTGGACAGTAGGTGGAGTAAGTCACTTGAGAGGCAGACAGGAGCTCTTAGCCTTTCGTGTTCCATAGTTTTACTGCCATTGTCTACCTCTGGCAACCCTGGTCATGTCATGGGACACCTGAATGTAATTTTCATTAGAACAATAGGATGCTGTAATGGTTCAGGTGGAGGTGATCACAAAACGCAGACCTGAGCTGGGTTTTGTGATGGTCTTCAACTTATAATTAAACTTAGCCTGTCCACCTTTATATCATAAGTGTACATGTGCAAAACCAAGGGTGAAGAAAACATCAGAAGGTTTTCTCCATAAAAGTTGCTGCTCTTTTTTAGCCTTCAGTTTGACCTGTGTTGGCACCTTTGGAATTTTAAAGGGCAGCATCTTTTTTGTATCTACCAGAGAAACTCTTTACTGTTACTTTTTTTGGCCAGTTAATTCAGAAACTTTGTAGAAGAGGGTCCCTCTAAAAGGAGCTCAGCAATGTAGTACCAGGCTTCTTAACAATTGCTTGCTCTCCCCCTTCGTCTTCTAAGTCCACATCTATTAGGTGCTTTCTTTTCAGAGAGGTTTGTTTTATAAGAAGCTGCCATCTGGTACAGAGCCTGTAGGATCACTTTATTCTTACCCATAGAGTGTAATGGTTTATAATAAGATACTTGTGCTATATGTAGCATTCACTGGGAAGAGATGCTGCACAGTGTTTTGTAGTCTATGTGGTCAACATTTTCTGTGTCTAGATGGACCATTATTGCTGAGCAGTTCTTGAGTTGAACAGAGCCTGCTGTTTATGGGTCTCACAACTTGAGAGCACAAGTCAAAAGGCCAGACAGAACCTGTGATTTTGAAGTAGTGTAAGCAATCTGTGTAGGCCCAATATTGGTGTTTGGGCAGTAAATTTGCCCTGAGAAGCTATTGGAGAGCAGAGGCTGATACAGCATTAGGTAGATCACAGTTTATGACATATTGAAATGCTACTAGTCTGAGACCCAACATCCTTGCTAGTTCAGTAAAGTATGACAATCTTAACCCACAGTTTTTTGCTGGAGTAGCTTTGCATACTAAGCAGCCTGCCTTGTTAACTGTTTTTTTGTGTTGTGCAGGCACTGAGATAACTACCCCCAAGATGGGAATTCCTTTCTAGTGGGATTATGCCAGAGGAGAGGCTTTCCAATGGTGCTGATTAGTCAGACCTTAATACCGTCTCAGGTGAGGTAGGTTTGGGATTTTGCTACCTGGAGACCTCTCAAGTGATACTTGAATACAGCTAGGAGTGAAGGAGAGTTACAGGTCATGTGAGGAGAATTATCTAGAGAGAGTAAAAAGAAACACTTTAGGACAAGGGTAAGTGAAAACAAGGTAATAGCCATTGGGCGTAAATACCTTTCTTGCTGCTTGTGTTGACTTGAAACTTCTTTCAGAGCTAGCATTGGCTCCAGGATATCCTACTGGGACATCATTTCTTCTTCATGTCAACTCCCTTCAGTATTACTATTTTAGTAATGAAACATTTCTTTGGATCTATATAAAATGGGGCATGCTTCAGTTTTCTTTTGGACTCAATTTTTCTATGAAATGGCATGCCACGAAAATCATTAACATTTGTGAAGCCCTCTTCTGGACAATGCTGTAGCTTAATTTGCCAGCTTCCCTTTACAGAAATAGGAAGATTAGAATTATTTGATGTAATTTTTGTTCTACAACTTCTCAGCCTTCTGAAAGGATTTTACTAGGCGGCTATTTCTGGTAGGCTGAAGAGAATAGAATAGGGAGGTCATTTGAAAAGTCTTCTTTTTTTGAAGCTATTTCCTCTGAAAACAAAGCCAGTGCTTTTCATTTAGAGACTGGGAAAGTGCCGAACACACGGGAAATTTAAGAGCTCTATGTTAAAGGAGGGACACGGATGACTCAGTGTTCAGATCAGGGTGCTAAGTGAAGAGCATGTCCACACCTCTCCAGACATACGTCATTAACATGGAGCAGGTTGTAGCTGGTTGCCATCTTTGAAGGTGGCTTTAAGGCTTGCAGCCACATGCTCATCTACTCACAGTGCACGATCCATGCCAGGGTTTCCAGACTCCATGGATGTACTGAGATTAGCAAAATACCCTTTGCAGAGCCATAGGGAACGCAGTTGAGCAGTACGTTTTCCAGCCTATTTCAGCTAAACATAAAAGCAGATTGTAAAAGCATGTTTTTGTTGTCCTGAGCAAAAGGGGAAGTGAGGAACAAACCTACTTTTCCTAGTGTTTTAATGGAAGCATTTAAGCTAAAACTCTTGTTTCCCAGTCTTCTGCTTAATCACTGAATGCTGATTCGGTTACTATTACTTTGTTTTAGCTGAAGGATGGTGTGCTCTGTATACCTTTTTCCACCCTATTAGAGTTCTTTGATCACACTCTTTGACAGAACTCATTCTGTGCATGCAAGCTGTGAGCCGTACAGTAAACATGTCAGAAAAGCCCAAAAGCAGTGATGTCATTTGATGGTGGAAGTTCATCTGGCCTGACACAATACCTGTGTCAGAAATGCCTGTATTCACCCGTTTACCAAACAGGAGGCTTAGGGTATAGCTGTATTTTGAGTCTCATTGTTTGTATCTTTACTACAAGGTGTATTAAGTGGAAGAAAGATATCTATGTAGAAAATTGTTGCAACAGATCTAAATGTAAGTTGGAGGCTGAACAATTGATACAGAATTGTTCCATGCTGTGTGTTTTTAATGCCTTGCCCAGTCTGTTGTAGCCTTCAGATTTTGCAGGTGCTGCTGTTATTTAATTCTAATAGAGCTGGGTAAAACTTTCACCTTGAGAGTTTGAATTTACTGAACTCTTCCATCTTATTTTTGGTACCACATGCTGCTTCTGCCATGCGGAAAAGAAGCTCCTGTGTTGCCTAATGGGGAGCAGATTTTCCTGTTCTAATTTGAAGTGCCTGTTTTACAAAAGTCATCTTTAATTTCCTCTGTCAACTTGATGTGGGACTGTGTGTAATGTAACATCATAGAATTAGATTATGTAAGTGCCAAAGACAGTTTTCTGCTGGAAAGTGATGGTCCAAAACTAGATCTAGCTGCATTCATTTGGAACTCTTCCACGCAACCTGCAGAAACTGGTATTTACAAGCATCTCTGGAGCTTTAGGAGACGAAAGTAAGTTACCTTTGTTTGCTTGCCTTTCATTGCTCAGTTCACTTAAGTAGCTTCTGTTTCTGTGAAACCAAAGAAATTAAATGAAGGATTTTAAGTGTAGCTTTTGTAGAACATGCGGAATTTATACCATGTAGCCATTATAGAGGAATCCGCAGAGCCTGTTTGCTTCTAAGTTGCAAATGTCAAAGCTTTACTCTTAAAACTGATAAAATCTGGTTAAAAACTGCACCTTAGAATTTGTTAATTCATTCATCAGCCTTTCAGATTAGCATTGCTTATAAGAGCTTGCCTGGAGCTTCATAGGATCGAGGAGATTTGTCATGCAGTCTGTTTGAGGCATTGCTAAATAAGAATGTCTAGAGCTTAAGTCCCTATTACAACTAAAGTTCACTGTGAGTCAGCCTATTCCTCACAGAATGGAGTATGTTTAAACCAGGTACTTGCCCATCCTCATTTACAAAAGGGTTGTAAAGGAAAGAAACCTTCAGCATGCATGTTTCTGCTTCCCACCAACACATTGGAGGTGCTCGTGTTATACCCAGTTTATCGGGAGGCAGGCAAAAAGTATGGTAGTAAGAAAACCTCTACCAATATTGGAAGTTATAGACTTAAAGATGTTCCATGAGAGTTACCTAGAACATCTCTGTTCAAACAAAATTCCTGATGTTAGTTTGTACGGGGGGAAAAACCAAACCCAAGCAACTCACTATTGCAGACACTGATGAAAACTGTTACAGGGCAGGAAACTGCTGGATGACTTATGAAGGAATTTCTTGTGGTTTCTCTGATTTCCAGTATGCCTCTAAAAGACTGATTTTGGAGTATTTAATCCTTGTCACTCCGCAAAGTCTAACCCAAGTTTGATTCTGTTCTTGTTAAAACTTGAGTAAGTTGTGTAGAAATTGGAAGTGTATTTTGTCATGTGGATACTTCTATTGCACTATCTTCCTTCTTGAATCTAATACTTTGATTTTTAAGCTACCTCTTTATATTGAGTTTTTTTGCCAATTTTGTATTTAATTGAGTTTTAGGAAACTACAAAATATTTCCTTGTTTATTTAAGTGGGAATCCATAACCTGAAGACACAGAGTCTTCCTTTAAAGTTTTTCTTAAAGGGCTTTTAAATGTAGCTAAAAGACGTAAGGTTTTGAAGGAGCAAAATAATTACACACTCTTAGAGCATGGATTCTCCTGTGTGTACTGCTTGCTTTTAGAAGGGCCAGAAGGCTCTTTTGTAATAATCTCAGCTGAGGGCATGACTTTTCAGGAGCAATAAATCTGGGTTGGGGCATTGTCATCAATTTAATATATTGCCAATTAAAGAGCTTTTAGTTACTGGTTTTGGTATTGAAGGAAAAGATGAATGAAACACTTGAAAAACACTGCTGCTTTCTTCCAGACACCACTCTTCCCTTCTCTCCCCACATGTCATAAGCCCCATGGTGGTCTCTAGTTCCTTGGCTGTATGTTATACTTGGTCCCTTCA